CCCCAAAACCCCAAAACCCCAAAACCCCTTTTGTGAGTATAAAATTTGAAAAGTCTGAAAACTAATAAATTAAATCATGGTAATCCTGTTAAATTTTGCTCCTTTTGGTTCATATCTCGAATCTATGCTCAAATAATTACTAGGAGAGGAAAGAAGTAGTGCAACTGCATATGTCATATATGTCTTTATGAGTAGTAACATCTAATTCTTGAACTAAAGGGATTCAAGTCCACGAACTCGAAGAAATGCTCTTTAGTAAAAATATATAAAAATTCGACTAAATAATTCTATTGCTTGAGGGGCTTAAGCTAAAATTTTGGCTAGTCTAATTCTAAATATACTAACACTTTTCATTCGGAGTACAATAGATGAAAATAGCATTTTCTGCATACTTTTGACTTTGAGCTTATGATTATTTAATACCCACAAATAATTAGAAACACTTAGTTGCTGTTTCATGCCCTCTTGTAGCACCTAAATGTTGAGACCAACTTGTCTCAATATATTGAAAGAGACACCTGAATTCTTAAAAATTGTATCAGAGCTTTAAAATGGGGTAAATCATTATGCACGCATTCTGGGCTACTAACCATATCTAATATTATCGAAAATGAGATCTCCCAATACTAGATTTAGCTTAGAAACCAGACTTCTCTTTGCATCAAAAAAATCCATTTATATATCTCCTCAAAGGTAATATGCGTGATTGCAGAAGGAGCCCAAAGAGTAGGAGATCAATACATCAAGGTCTTTGGAACATTCTTAAGTAGATATATGTACAAATTTTAGAGTTAACAATATCTCGATCATAAGTTCTACTTGTACTGCTCAAAATGATAGAAATCCCCTAAAGAGGTATAGTCTCTTTATGAATGATTCCTGATAATTTTGTAAACTTCCTTGACATTGGAGAAACTTCCAAGAACTAAAATTGTGTGATCTCTCCTCATTACGGTGTTAAGCAGATGTATATTTACCGAACTTGGCTTAATACAAATTGATAATTGAAATCTTCCCTCTGTATTTTTGAGAGACTTCAAAGCTAGCAGAAGAAATTATTTTGGCAATATTGCTACTTTTAAGAAAGTTATTGATTTAATTTAATAAGAGAATGCAGAGATTATACCTCTAGGAGAAAGGGTTAGGGAATAACATCCCTCTCTTCTTTCTCTACCTCATCTTTCTCTTTAACTCTTTTGAAAGCTCTTTTAGTAGCACTTTCATAGAAGGCAATGTTGAATTTAAAATCTTCTGATTTTATTGCCTGAAAGTCTGGGTGGATCTTTACTTTAATATTTTTTCAGAATCCTGCATGTATATCAAGGTCTTTCCAGGAATCTCGTGCAGCATTGACTCCCAATTTATGTGTCCTTTTTTGACTTGCTTTTTATACATTCTGCTCAGGTCTTGCTTCTTGCGTACAGAAATTATTGTTATTGTTAAGTATTTTTTGAAGCCTTCTCACAAGCATCGATATCTTTCCTTTTCAATTTGCCTTTTTGGCAACTTCAAGGATTAGTTTCTTATGAACTTTGTTTTTACTCGATGGAGTCAAGATGACATCTTTCAAGTTCATCATTGAATGCCATAAAATTGCTCTATAAGTGAAGAACAGGTTCTTGTCATCCTCCTTCCTTCATCTCCCCTTCTAAGATGAACCTTTAAGGTCTTCATCTCCTATTGGTTCTATTTCCTGACCTAAACACAAAATTAGTTATATAATAACAGAAGTTAATTTAGGTGATTTTTCTTTATAATAAAGTTCTAAATAGATTGCAAAAACTCACCTTCTTCTATAAATCCCTTGAGGCTAGAAATGGTCTCTTTCCAAAGGATCTATATCACAAGGATTAGCTTTGACGGATTTAGAATTAATAGCCTAAATATACAGATCTAGTTCTTCCTCCTCCATTCCCTATTCCTTAAAAAAACCTTAAGAATCTTATTTTTCAGCTGAAATGTACTGGAGAGGGGTTTTGGGGTTTTGGGGTTTTGGGG